AAAAACCAAAATAAAACAAACAAAAAAGCCCTTATATTTAAAGAAGAAGAGCTTTTCACCCACACAGGATGTTTTCTCTCCAAAAAGGGCTTTAAAAATAACTTGGAGGCATTTTTGCTACAGCAAGCCAGAAATCTTACATTATATGGAATAAAGCAGTTGCTACTCCATTCATTTTAACTGAGGCTGCCTGAGCAACTCCACCAGGCACCTCTCAGCAAGAAGCAGTGTACCAGCTGCAGTTTTGCCAGCACAGCCTGCTCTCCTCACAGCTGGAATCTGCACACTGCAGCTGCTCCTGCATGCCCACAAGGACGCTAAAAATATAGCATCTCCAACTGGAGCACAAGAGATACCTCATGTCTGATACCCTGGAAAAACACATGTTCAACTCCAGTTCAGATGTGATTGGAAGCCCACGAGTTAGGTCACTCTGCTCTGAATCTGCCCCTGCATGCAGATAAGACAGATAAAAAGGCTAAGTGCAAGCCTAGTAGTGTAGGAATAGTGTATGTGCAATGCAGGCAGCCTCAAAAGAGAGATACTTTTGTGTAACAGACTAGGAATACCTTTTTTCCTGTGAAAACAGATTAGATTGTTCCCAAACTGAATGTGGGCAAAATATGGCAAAAAAAAATTCCTGTATTTCATTATAGCTAAAGGATCCAAGTCATGATTCAACAGGTTTAAGAAGTGTCATTTGTAACAAAGCTTAGCCAGTGGCAAGTACTACAAGTAAATAACTTCTGAAACTGTGATTAAAAAACTGCACAGTGTGTCACACCATACACCACTTGAAAATATCTTTTGCACAAGTTGAAGTGTCCTGTCTGAAACAGCTTTTCACAAAAAATATTTGTTTCCCTGAACTTATACTTTTCATTTTGTCAACCACATTCTTTTTATTATTTAACTAATTTAAAAAATTTTTCACTTTTAAAAAAATTAAAGTATAAAAAACTATTCCAGAAAAAGAAAGATCAACCCATTTCAAACACCACAAAATAGAAACTTGAAAATGCTGCCATTTTTGTTAAATAGTCCACTGAGTTTTGAGGAACTTTGTTAAAAGGATCATATATCCTGATAAAGTCAATGTTAACTTGTCGTTATACTTATTAAAAGAGTCAACTAATTTAAAAATTAGCTATTTATCTACTAAAAAGTTTAAAATTCAAAATTTTGAGAATTTCCCTACAAGTTTTCTAGATGTGTTAGTAAAGAAGTGTAATGCCACAAAAATCATGAGAAAGCACCCAGTTTGGTGAATCTTTTACCTTCACTCCTCATTAGTTCATGAACTCAGTGACGTGGATCTGATCTTAGTGTTGTCATTTCAATTTAGCAATGTTTAGGGCTCCATTTCAGAATAGAGGGATGTTACACACAACTTCCCCAGATACAGATTTATATTTGGATAGTAAATGTGCACAAATTCTTCATCCTAATGTTCTGAATACTGTAAATAATTCCACTCTAAACATAAATATCCCTGTGGTTTCTTAGCACCATTACACAAGTTTCATTTAGTTCCATTTATTAGATGAAGATCTAATCCATTACCAAATTGGTGTGAAAGAGAGAAAATTAAAGCCCTTAGCGTTTCTAAATGCTAACTGGATCCTCCACCTGCAGCAACTGTCAGTCTGAACTATTTAAAGCCAGACTCCAAGGTCACAACTTGGGCTAGCCTCCTCTTTTGAATTCACTTCAAGGACTGAGTGCTTCAGAACTTGGCACAGTAAAAACAGCATGTGCACAAGAGGCAGAGATTTCTCCAATATATTCACAAACATATGGTTTAATTATGGTTAAATCACAGCTTTTCTTTATTATTTTATTGTGTCAAGCTTGGCAGAATTCAATTAGGTCTCTATTTTACTGGAGAAAATTTAAAAATGCATGTTAGTACTGTCAAAGGGCCATAACATAACTAGAAATCTCTCCAGAGCTGTAGGCACTCCCACTCCAGCAAAACTCTTGATAGTCTCAGTAAGAGGTTTGGACACTGAGAGCAAATTAGCGTCCAACAGAGCCTAGTGCTTCCTTTATCCAAAGGGCACCCTGCCATCTAGTGGCCAGGACATTCCAAAAATACCACTCTGCTCTTTCAGCAGAGGAGCTTTATACGAAAACCCTCCCACGCATGTCGCACATGTTCCAAATTTAAAGAAAAAAAAAGTTAAAAAACGTGGTAATACTCCGTATCTATTCTAATGACCTGTGTAGAGACCCCCTAAGAAAAAAACACACGAAGTTAAACATTAATCTCCTCTGTCCTGCACTGGCATACATAATGTATATGAGTGAATTTTATCTCTAGTTCTATATCATACATTAAATGTTATGTTTCTTTTTCTAGTTAACTGCTAATGAGAGATCCATGCATCATAGCTTCAGAGAACCAAGTCACTGGATCCCTTTTTGCAATACAGAGTTTTCTCTAGATATATGCTCTGAAACTGAAGTAGGAGCTACAGACCTCATAGTGAGAGCAGACATTTAGGAGCAAAGTGGAGGTGAGGGAGATTAGTTAGGGGTATATAGGAATGAAGAAGTACAACCACTGTGTAACAACCACACAGCTATGCCACAAACTGACACGTCCATTCCAGAAAGGTCACTTCTGTCACTTTTCCCAGCTCCCTGCCTATGTAAGAGCTTTGACTCACTATTGAGGATGTGCTGAAAACTCAGTTTTGTAAGACTGCACGATTGCTAGTGTTGACATGAGAGGCAATGGGGAACATATGACAGGAAAGGAAAAAGAGTTGAGCTGTCACTGAGTCATCAGGATCCTTATGCCATCCACGAAACTCTCCTGATCTACTACAAATTAGTGTGAAGAAGCTGTGTTCTACCATGTCTGGCTGGAATTGAGTTAACTTCATGAAAGCCCATATGTGTTTTTGCATTTGTGACTAAAACAGTGTTGTTGATAACACACCAGGCTTTTGGCTATAGCTAAACAGTGCTTGTACAGCACAGCATCAAGCTTTCTCTTCTCACGCTGACCCCCTCCAGTGAATAGGCTGTGGAGGGCAGGCACAAGAATCATAGAATAGTTTGGCTTGGAAGAAGCTTAAAGATCATCCAGTTCCAACCTCCCTGGCATTGGCAGGGACACCTGCCTCAATACTAGATTGCTTAAAGCCCCCTCCAACTTGGCCTTGAACAGTCCCAGGGATGGGGAATCCACAACTTCTCTGGGCAACTTCTGCCAGTGCCTCACCACCCTTACAGTAGTGAATTTCTTTCCAATTTCTAATGTAAACCTGCCCTCTTTCAATTTAAAGCTATTATATCTTGTTCTCTCAAGAAGATGGGAGGGAACAGTGCCAGAACAGCAGACTCAAATGGGCCAAAGGATTATTCCATACCATGTAATATTATGCTCACTGTTAAAAATTGGGTGTGGGGCTTTCTCCCAAGAAAGCCATTGTAGCTGCGGCTCAGAGACAGCTTGTGGAAGGTGGTGAATGACCAGTTTTGCATCCCTTTGCATTTTTCTTTCATTTATTAAAATCCTTGCTTGAACCCCAGTGTTTTATAGCTTTTGCCCTTCCTGTTCTCTCCCCTATCCTGCCTGGGAATGACTGAATGGCTGTGTGGATATTTAGGTGCTGGTCAGGGCTAACCCGTCACATCCATCCAAGCAGCTTATCACAGCAGACACCAGACAGACATTTCAGAACAGACAGTCCAATGCCACTCTTCTGCTCCACTGATAATGCACCAATGTACAGAAAAGGCACCTCCAAGACAAGCAGGTCCTTAAATATACCCAAAGGAAAAGTGAGGTAGAAGGAAGCAATGAAGAACTATAGCTACTGATGACAACCAAGACAGGTGTTATTTCCTTGTTGAAAGTGGACTGTAGGAGGTGCAGCAGAGCCTCCTGTTCCCAGCCTGAAATAAGCAATGCAAAAAAAGGAATTTATTTGCAGAGGAGAGCACAGAAGAAAGCTCTCTGTGAACACCAGTTTCAAAGCTGTTTGACAGGACAGCTTCAGATCCCCCAGTCTTGAAGAGACTTCAGTTATATCTGTGGTAGCAGGAAGTGCATCTCTTCCAATCATCATCTGTTACTTTCCACTCAAAGTGACTCCCCTCTGATCAGGAAGTGTCCACTAGTGAAATGGGTGAAATTACTAAAGAATCTCAGACACTTAGTATGAGCCATCTGCAGGCATACCTTGGCTAGAAAAACCAGAAGATAGGTGCAGCTGGACTTCCAGCTGAAAAGATTAAGAGGATCCTGATGTAAAATTATCTGTTGCTGTGAAAACACTAACAGCAATAAAACCCTCCATATCTGAAATAAATGCAACTTACAGGAAATGGTGAAAAAGAAGAAAATTTGTGCTGAAGCAATATCAACTGGTGACTAATAACCACCATGAAGCTGATGCCTCCACACGTTCAGACAGACTGCAATCAAAGCATAATCAGGAGCCGTCAAACTCATTCCTGCAGTGCTGAGATCTCCCTCTTAGAGACAGATGGCAGAAACTGCTCTCTGAACTCAGAATGGAGCACAAACAAAACATGGTAATGCAATATTCCTCTTAAAGATACAGGATATTTGAAGTTATAGCTATGGCACCATCCTGAACAAAGGACAAGAATCTCCAACATGACTGAACTAAGAATAATGAAAAGATTTTCAGATTTTTAGTCTTCAGGTCATCAGCATGTTGGGCATACTGAGGATCACGAGGTAGCAGAGTATTGTCCATTTGTGGCTTGAAAATGAAAAATAAACTGGAAAAAACCATTATTTCCCTGCCCCTTAAATAATCCAGTTAATTAACACAGTTTCCCTTATACAGAAACACAAATGCCCTGAATGCATTCAGATGTAGGCACTATGAAAAAGGGTGCTGAAGGAAACACTCCTAGGAAGTTAAAATTCTATGTCCCCACAGAGAGATTGTTTCAAATAAAGAAAATTGTTCTTACCAGTACTCAAGCACTTTCTGAAATTCTTGCTCATTGTTCACCCTTCTCTTTAATTTGTCAGTTATTCCCGTGAAAAATCTAAAAAAAGACAAAATAGTACTAAGAAAGCATACTTTCATACACATTGAAAACAAATGAGGCCTAGGTTAGTGAAAAGATTTAACTACTTTAACCAGAGTCCATCTTCCACTTGGAGAAAGGGTCTAATTCCATTTTAAGAAAGTTACCCACCCTACATGGTAAGTGAATAATTTTCTCCCTTCCCCCTCCTGACATACAAGTTCAGCCTACGCTGTTCAGGAATGGCATAGGACTAAATGGAGTTTACAGAAATACTGCCTAATATAAACAACATATCAGAGATCTCAAACAACCAACTGAGCACAGTAGTGAATTATTTAGGACACTTTGCTGACTACACAACTACAGAATTACTTCTGAACTGGTCCTCTGTGACCAGCACTCCTCCAGAACAAAGCACTGAGAAACACAAGTCCAGCTGAGAAGCATCTTAAAAAATTTTTTTTAAAAATTTTTAAAAAAAGGCTAAGAGCCACATACAGTTTTTCCCCATGCTGTCAAACCCCAAGTGCAAGGATGTTTCCACCTGGTTACCTAAACTGGTTCCTTAAACCATTTATCCAGCAGCTTCAAGAGGAATGCAAAGGTGCTAAAGACTGAGGATTTCTCCATTGGTCATTGCTTGTGGTTTGTCTGCCTCTGTAAGGGACTGAGAGCACTCTGCTGGAAGAGGCTCTGCACAGCTACTGAAAGTAACAAGAAACAAACAAAAAAAGAGATCGATCCACCCTGGTATCCAAATACCTGGGAACTATAAAAGCCACCTAATAAAAGAAGGATGATGGTCTGTGCAAATGCCCCTTCCTGAAATGAACGTAGTGATGCTGCCACTTTCCAAGCAATGGAGCCCACAAAATCTCAGCAAATCTTTCACTGTAGGATTGGTGCAGGCTGGAATTCACCTGTCCCAGTGCAGATATTCACAGAGCCTTTATCTACATGTCAAGTCAAGTACTATAAAATGAAGGATACACACATGTTTACTGTGTGATTTCTTGACACATCTCAGAAGGTGCTCATATAGTAGCATCAAATTGTGGATCCCTCTCTTCCATCACAGATGATTTTTCTGTGTTTCAAATTTCACAGACTTCTTTGACTTCTGCAACTTCAGCAGTTTACACCCACAAAGGGGTCACAAATTAAATGAAATAAATGTGGCCAAGAGTGAAATAAAATCAGACTGAACCAAATTTGCCAACTTTGCTTCAACTGCAGTCATGCCAGATGGTGGACTGATTCTCCTGTCTCCCATTTCCCTGTGAAATCTATGAAAAAATAGACACAATCAGATTTTACCCATTCCTACTTTTTTCAAGCCATATCCTCAAGTTCTGAGACTACAAGTAAAACTGATCTGTTTTTTATCTTCCATTAGAATTGTTTTCTGCTGTAAATGCTAATGTGATGGAATCAAATACTAACCAACCAAACACCTGGGCTCTGTAGAAAGCAATATGATCACTTCTACTCAACAAGATCCTCCTGCCAACTTGGCTGAGCTGTGAATATTGCTTGCACAAATCAGCATCCCAAGCAGACAATGGTATAGTCTTGCTCTTCTGCTAGTGGAAGCCTGGGAAATGAAGCCAAATGATCGCAAAAATGAAGAACAAACCAAGTGGAAGGCTAAACATTCTGGTTATACTGATTCTCTGTCTTCCCCTGGACAGGCCCAGATTTATGGCCTGATTATGGTTTACAACACAAGCAGAAAAGTCCTCACCTTTAAAGTTCAGTTTGAGGTTGCGGGCTTGAATGTTAGAAAATGGTTGCTCTAACAGCATTAAAAGTATTCGCTGCTGAAGGCAGGCAAAGCCAATAAACAGCCTCACAGCTCCACTGTTACAGCCACTTCCCAAAGTGAAATCACATCTCTAAAAATCATTAATTAACTCACCTATTTTGAAAGAAGTTTTTATTTATTATTCATTAACTGCCTGCATAAACAAGTCACCACAAGCCTCTGCACATTGTACAAAAATTTGTTGAGTTGCTGACAGGATAAATGACTACAGTTGCTTTTATTTTCATTGTACAACACTGGCTGAGTCACAAGGTTCTGATCAGTTCTGCATTTATTTCGATTTTATAGATTTTTTTATTAGTTGTAAAATGAGAAGTTTATTTCCTTTGAAAAGCAGCCACAGGCACATTGATAGCTAAGTCAAAATCCCAAACAGTCGGGATGGGATATTTGTGACAAAGAAATTGAAGGCAACTATTTTAAAATCAGTATCAAAAATGAAACATGCATATCACATTTAAAGATACAAGCATTAAGATGGGATCAAAGCTTAACATTAACACCTCCTTTGTGAAGCAAAGTAGTGAGTTTCCAGAATCATACATCACAAGCTCATTTACTTCATTAGGGTCATGAAATCAGCCCAGCTGTTGTGTTCCAGAGCAGAACCCTAAACACAGCTCTTGCAGCTGCTGGGACATCTGCAGATGTGGAAGTGCTCAGGGCTACACAGACTCCAAGTCTATCAGACTGGCCCTGATGCATACTGCATCAGGGACAGGAAATACCCCTTAATGGCAATTTCCTCTAGTTCTGATGACAGATTACTTCTATTTTGCTTCCATGCTGCCTGATAGATTAGCTATGGTAAAAAGGTCCTAGACACAGGTGTCACATATTTAGACAAGATGGGTGTAGCTTTCTACACAATTTTGTATCAAATATGTGTAAGTAGGGAATTTAATAATTCTACATAATAATAAGTATAGCAAAGTTTTAAAAATCTGAATTACTGATGGAAATTTCTTACTCTGCATCTCCCCTGCACATTGAAATACAAGCAAGCACATCAAAAAGCACGATTTCTGTCACAAGTTGTTTTGCAGAGCCACAAGGGCCCCACCAGTGCTAAAACTTATAAGAAAACTATTATCTATATTCTGTTACTATGAACAGAACTGCTAGTGAAAATACAAGGGCACATTTCAGTTGGCTGAAACACTGCCTGAAATGCGAGGCTGAAAGCACGCGTTCAGCTGCTACTGCTTTCCTGGTCATACTTTGTTTCGGATTTGCGGGATTTCATCACTGAATTACCTCTTTCCCCGAATGGAAACAGCAGAGGGCAGCACTACAGCCTGGTTCAGCCTGGCATCAGCCTCTGGAAAAAGACTCCATACGGACTCTTCTGCTGTTTATCAGAAAGGTTATTCCAGGATACTTCTCTTGCACTGGGCATTGGCCCAGCAGTTATGGGCCCTGTCTACTTAGTAGGTATCTCTGCCTTCCTGAGTCACCCCAGCTATGAAAGGCCATGTTTCCTGGCTATGCTCCAGCCTGACCTATTCAGGGGAAAATTAATCCTGCTTCAGAATGCCAATGCTAAAATAAACCCATGCTTGCTGGAGAGTGGAGAGGTGGCAGGGAAAAGGAGACTATGTAAATGCATGCTTCTCATCCCTTGCTGTAACCAACCTCCTCCCATCCACATCACTGCTGCTCAAAACTGAGAGCAACCTCCCCTGCCGAGCTGTGCCCAGTAGGAGAAAGTGCACGGCTTTAGGATAGCTTTCCCAAAACTACATCAATGGGTTCTCTTCTCTCAAACTGAGTATGTTTCAGAAGTGGAGGAATAAGGGGAAGAGAAGTGCTCTGCTTATGGCGGTTTGGATTTTTAAATTTTATTTTGCAGAGGTGAGGGGCAGAAGAGGAGACAAAAGTATAGAATAAGCTGCTGGGTTCCTGCAACACTGCTGTCTCACAATTTTTCACTCGTTTAGTGTTAGCTTGCTCTGTCTGTGGATTATTAGCAGTGGACAAGAAAGCCTGCAACTTCAAGAACACCTCAAAAAATGAAGCATGGCATTGATAAAAATGTGTGGAAGCCAGAGGGATATTTTAAATTGCATAAAGATCTATTTTATTTGAACTGTTTCTTCTGACCCGAGTCGCTGGTCTAGTTCTATGCAGAAAAAAAGGATGCCAACCTACAACACTGTAACATCTGAAAGGCAAATAAAAAACTAGCAGCAGACTCAGCTTCTGGGTGACCCCCCCATCACTATGATCCTGGAAGTAACTGACAAGGTCCAGATAATTTATCCCTGGCTGACTATTTCAAGACTGTTTCATGTCTGCACCATTGTTCCTAACATCTCAGTTTTCTTCACTATATATGCTCAGAACACCCTTGTCTTCTATCCCTTTAGAGCTGTCTGGAAAATAGAAAACAGCTCAATCTCAACTTCTTCCATTCCTGTATATTACTACAAAGGAAAAGAAATTAAATGGAACAATAGGACAATTCCTTTTACAGTGCTGAACTGCAAGCCAATTTCACAGCATATATTCATTCATACTTACCCATAACTGTACATACATATATGTCAATTTGAAATAATACAGCAACATTTAAGAATGTATGTCAATACAGTATCTTTGTTTATTTCTTAAGATTTATAAGAAAGTATTAAACTGAATTCCCAGTGAATCAGAAACTGGCAGTCATTCTCCAGGAATGAATGAAATACAGATTGGGTTTTTTTCATCAAGCTGAGATAATATACCACATAATCTAATTGTTTCCTGACTTCTTCTTTTGTCCCCATAATTTGTTCCCTTTCATATACGGTATACCATCTCAGCTGGAAAAAGTCATATTCAAAGGAATTTTTGGACCTGGGACTCAAACTAGACTTTTTTCACAGTGAGTTCTGAAGCACTGAATACCCCACGAAGGGACATGAGTTTTTATGCCACAAAAACCATAAACTCTGGCATCTAAAGACTTTCTCACTCAGTTTTTTCAGTTTAGCAGGGCAGTTGCCATCTTCAATATCAGCATCCCACTTGCTGGGATTTTGGCTTTTCAGCAGACCTTTTTTTTCTTCATGCATTTTAATAATGTGTGGCATGGAACAGACCTTAATTTGCCATTTTCTTGCAAAATACAGAAAGATTAATATTTCAATTTACTAAAAAAACATTTCTGGCATTGTAATCAATATAATTTGAATTATAACAACAAAGT